GATTTTTACAATATTTTTTTAAAGGGGAATTTTATTTTTTATTTTTTTATGCAAAAACTAACAAAACAGCATCTAGCCATTGCCAGGATCTCTCAAGTATACAGCTTTGACACACAGTGTGGCTTTACAAGTTTCAATTGCATTTTGTCAACATTTTAGGTATACATGTCAACAAATAGTCATGAATTCCTATTATATATGCAATGTCTGTATTGCAGATTGAGTTATTTATATTTTTTACAGGTACTTACAGTCATGGCCGAAATTGTTGGCACCCTTGATATTTTTCCTGAAAATCAAGTATTTCACACAAAAAAGGTATTGCATTAACACATGTTTTGCTATACACATGTTTATTCCCTTTGTATGTATTGGAACAAATATAAAACAGAGGCAGAAAAGCAAATATGACATAATGTCACACAAAACCCCAAAAATGGGCTGGACAAAAGTATTGGCACCCTTAACTTAATATTTGGTTGCACACCCTTTGGAAAACATAACTGAAATCAGTCGCTTCCTATAACCATCAATAAGCTTCTGACACCTCTCACCCGGAATTTTGGACCACTCTTCCTTTGCAAACAGCTCCAGGTCTCTCTTATTGGAAGGACACCTTTTCCCAACAGCAATTTTAAGATCTCTCCACAGGTGTTCAATGGGATTTAGATCTGGGCTCATTGCTGGCCACTTCAGAACTCTCCAGCGCTTCTTTGCCATCCATTTCTGAGTGCTTTTTGACGTATGTTTGGGTCATTGTCCTGCTGGAAGACCCAGGATCTTGGACGCAAACCCGCTTTCTGACACTGGGCCCTACAGTGCGACCCAAAATCCTTTGGTAATCCTCAGATTTCATGATGCCTTGCACACAGTCAAGGCACCCAGTGCCAGAGGCAGCAAAACAACCCCAAAACATCATTGAACCTCCACCATATTTTACCGTAGGTACTGTGTTTTGTTCTTTGTAGGCCTCATTCCGTTTTCGGTAAACAGTAGAATGATGTGCTTTACCGAAAAGCTCTATCTTGGTCTCATCTGTCCACAAGACGTTTTCCCAGAAGGCTTTTGGCTTACTCAAGTACATTTTGGCAAACTGTAGTCTTGCTTTTTTATGTCTCTGTGTCAGCAGTGGGGTCCTCCTGGGTCTCCTGCCATAGCGTTTCATTTCATTTAAATGTCGACGGATAGTTCGCGCTGACACTGATGCTCCCTGAGCTGCAGGACAGCTTGAATGTCTTTGGAACATGTTTGGGGCTGCTTATCCACCATCCGGACTATTCTGCGTTGCAATCTTTCATCAATTTTCCTCATCCGTCCACGACCAGGGAGATTAGCTACAGTGCCATGGGTTGCAAACTTCTTGATAATGTTGCGCACTGTGGACAAAGGCAAATCTAGTTCTCTGGAGATGGACTTGTAACCTTGAGATTGTTGATATTTTGCCACAATTTTGGTTCTCAGGTCCTCAGACAGTTCTCGTCTCCTCTTTCTGTTGTCCATGCTTAGTGTGGCACAGACAGACACACAATGCAAAGGTTAAGTGAACGTCTCTCCTTTTTATCTGCTTTCAGGTGTGATTTCTATATTGCCCACACCTGTTACTTGCCCCAGGTGAGTTTACAGGAGCATCACATGCTTGTAACATTCTTATTTATCCGCAGTTGTGAAAGGGTGCCATACTTTTGTCCAGCCCATTTTTGGAGGTTTGTGTGACATTATGTCGAATTTGCTTTCTTTCCTCCCTTTTTTTGTTTTGTCCCAATACACACAAAGGGAATAAACATGTGTATAGCAAAACATGTGTTAATGCAATACGTTTCGTGAGAAATACATGATTTCCTGGAGAAATATCAAGGGTGCCAACAATTTCGGCCATGACTGTATATAGCGCCATCAATTTATGCAGCGCTTTTACATTTATACTGCACATTCGTATCAGTCCCTAACCCTCAAGGGGTGTACAATTTAACGTCCCTAAATTTACATTCATACATACACTTACTAGGGCCAATTTAGACAGGATCCAATTAACCTACCAGCACGTCTTTGGTGTGTGGGAGGAATCCGGAGGAAACCCACGCAGGCACAGGAGAACATGCAAACCTTAGGCAGGTGGTGCTGTGGTTGGGATTCGAACTGATGACCCTAGTACTGCCAGGCAGAAGTGCTAACCATTTAGCCACTATATCACCAAATAAACTAGTAAAAATCTTCAAATCTATACTACATCTGTGCAGTGTAGGGATGCACCAATGCCAATATAAAGTATTTTCAGAAGTACTTGTGAAAAATGCTCCCGATATCAGAAACCGATACTTTGCGGTGCAATTTGCTTTTTAAATTGCAATTCACACTGCAAAGATGCTGTTTTTGTCCAAACCGCATGCAGTTTCCGCACTGCTCCTGTGTGAAACCAGACTTGTCATAGCCTGAATTCACACAGGAGGGATGCTGGAAACCTCCCTGCGCCGATCCCATACTGAACGGAGAGTGGGAGAGAAGGGATGTATACCTTGGTGGCAGATGTTCTTGACTCTAAGCTGTAGAAGAGGAGAGAAAGCCACGTGGATTTGAAATCTCCATGGCTTTCTCTCCTCTCCTTGCATAGAGGGCAGCTCTGTTGCACGTGTCTGTTTTGCATGTGCGTTTGACACATTATTTGATACTTTTTAAAAACATTTTTTTGGCTAACCTGTTACACATCAATGCAGTTTGCTTTTGTCCGTTTTGCAGTGCATTTTTTTTAAATGGTGGGGTTTTTTTTGGCCAGCTTGTTGCTGGGCAGATTAAAAAAAAAAAAAAAAAAAAAAAAAAAAGCATCAAAAACGCGGCAAACCGCATGTCAAAACTGCACTACATGCGGTTTCTGCAGCATCTCCATTGAAGTCTATTGAGCCAAAAACGCAATGTTTTGCTTTTTAAAAAGTCCCTGACCCTTTCCAAAGGCACAGCAGCTCAGAAAAGCATAGATGTGAACGTGTTCCATAGGAAACTATGTTTAATGGACTGTGGAGAGTTCTTGCAAAAAGCCCTAAAAATTTTTTTTTTTTAACTTGCCAAATATGCACCAAAAATGCGGCAAGCAGGAGTTTTAACACTGCAATGGAATTGCAACGGACCAGTGTGAAGACATACATGAATTTAAAGGATGCATTTTTCTTGAGCGATTCTGCCTTTTTTTTTTTTTTTTTTTTTTAAAAGCAAAATCACTGCAAAAACTGCTTGGTGTTAAAGCAACCTGTTGACCGAAAGGTGCCGACAAATTTTTATTCATTTAAATTCATAATTAAAAAGGTCAAAGACAATACAATCATATATAAAAACATTTTTAAAAAGGAAAAACTGTCCATTTCGGTTTTTGGCCAAATGCATCCAGAATTTTTGGTTTCAGTCCAAGAATTTTCGGTGCACCACTATATCATACCATACGGCAAAAGGTTCCATCAACAGACACATCTATAATGATTCACAGTGGGGATTTTCCCCATTTTAAACAATCTAGATGGTGTATATATCTCTTAGATTGTAAACTCCAAGGAGCAGGGCCCTCCTAACCCTCTTGTATTGAACTGTATTGTTGCTGTATTGTCTCCCGTTACATTGCAAAGCGCTGTGAAAAAACTGTTGGCGCTATATAAATCCTGTATAAGAATAAAATAATAATCAATACTATGTGTAAACATTTTAATTAGTTGGTCCCTAGAAGATATAATTGTGGTAATATGTGACCCTAAGTCTTGCCAAGCATCCTCTGGGAGCATCCAGGCTACCCTCCTGCCACTGATTCTTTAGCGGTCATAGGTCTTTTGGTCTTAGCATGGATTAGCGTGGGGGTGAAGATCAACTGAGCTTGATTAGTTAAAAGCAAAAAGCACACACAGCCAGATTTCTGGTATGCAGGGGATTAACAGAAATTGCTATGTTTCTATTTGTAAAGCAATCTTGTCAGCAAATGGAAACTCCCAATAAAATCTGTACCCGAAACAAAGTGTATACTAACTCCCCTATGCAGCTCCGCTGAAGAAGAGGTTAACAAAAACCAACATATCTACTAGACTCAATCTCCTAGTCATCCGCAGTGCTCAATGGTTCCTTCTGCTGACCCCAACATTTTTACTGAGCGATTAGGTGGTTGGCAGAAGAAACCACGGAGTGCTGCAGGGGACCAGGAAAAATTATCTTAGCTCTACCCGCTGACTTACCAGGCAGCAGTGGTCTGTCTCCCAGCTGGACTCTAACAGTCAAATTTACATGGTACTTATGGTACGCAGGAGTTCATACATAATCCGCAGAGTTTATCAAAAAATCAAGTGGTCCAGTATAAAGCAGAAAGCTAGGATCAGGAAACTGACACTCCAGAAGTGTAGGTCTCTGCAAAGACTTCTGTTGGAGGCTCCTCCTAAAACAGAGCAGTGTTTATATGCGAAGGAGAGGCAAGTATCCACCATCTTTCTTTACAGGGATAGCATTTTGGAGTTTTCGTTTGCCCGTGGGGTTATTTCAAAGTGACCATGTCACTACATGGTTGAACTGAAGGACAACAACATACTTGTAAAAGAAAAAGCAATATACTTTACGGCAGTTTGTGTGTTGGAGCAGGTATTCTACATACCCGAAGTATGGATTGTGTGCAGTGGCTGGTGAGCAGCAAAGGGTGTTTCAATACACAGGCCTCAAGAAAGGCAAGTATTTTCCTTGTATGTTTCTAGGTATGCATGCATGCTTTCAGGTTTTGATCCTGTCGTGACAGGGTCACTTTAAAAGGAAATGCACTCAACATCCTCCAGAAAATGTTAGCTGCCTGGTGTTTGCTGCTTTCAGTACATTCTAAATCACTGACTCCAAACAAGCATGCAGCAAGCAAACTCAGTCTGGGTCAGGACTCCAAAAGCACTAAATGCACTAGAGCAAAAAGACAGGCAAATCAGTATTTTTAAACGGCAGTCCACACTCTAAACCGATTTACAGGATATAAGAATATGAAAGGACAGCACACTTACTGGCAGAGAATGACTCCATCTCTCAGGCCCATCTGGAAGTTGTCACCAATCCTCATGCCAGTCACCTCCTCTATCCAGAGTCTCAGATCCTCCTCCATCTGCGGGTCATATTTTTGAGCAATCTAGAAAAAAAATGAAATGAAAAAAAATTGGTTTGTATGGGCAACAGACATACCAATAGCTTTTAGCAAGTATTTTTACATTTATAATTCTAACATTTTTGCCCCCCCCCCCCCCCCCATCATCAAGGCACGCAAGAATATTCTACCATTTAAGCTGTGAGACCAGCATAGCTTTAGATCTACAGATATAACAAGAAAAGAATGTAGTTTGTGTTTTGTATGTAATCTTGCTTGATGTAGTAGTGTCAGAGAGAATGAAAAAGACATACTAAAATGTCTGTAAATTCCCAACAAATCAGGGAATCTGAACCAGTTCTGCAATCCTGACAAATCAGTGAACACAAACCGGGTTTGTAATCCTGACACATTGGTGAACATGGGGGGAGTTTTGTAGTCCCAATACAGATTATTATTACAGTATTTATATAGCGCCAAAGTATGCTCAGCGCTGTACAGTAGCAAGGGGGACAGAACATGAGACAAGACAGTAACAAAACAGTACACGAGGGGGTTTGAGGACCCTGCTCTTTCGTGCTTACAATCTAGGTAATACAGATGAACATGAACCAGTTCTGAAGTCCTGACACATAAGGAGACTCAGTCCAGTGAACTGAAAATTTAAAAATTATGATTGTAAAATACTTAAATTATACTGGCCATAGAATTGTAGTTTTGTTTCATTCAGTAAGCATGCTGAACAAAACAGATTGCTCCATCCACACAAACTAAGCAGATGGAAAGCCATCACCACCTCCACCCGTTGGGATATTGTATTCTGACAGAGGCTCCTACTGCTCTCAATATACACACTGCCTATTGGCTGCAGTTGTTGATCACCAAAAGTTTTCTAACTTGTCTGTTTGACAGATGTTAATCATATGATTGACTTCTGGAGAACAGGGACAGCCACACACTTATCGAAAATTGTCCAGTCACTACTGACCTGCCTCTGGCCAGGTTTAACTGCATTTCCTGCAGAAAAGCCAATATACTTCTGGTAGGGTGAGAGGTTTGCAAGAAAATCTACTTATTAGGCTCAAGTAACCATGCAAATGGCTCTGAGGAAGATGCAAGTCCTCAAAACATGTCAGCCTATTGGATGTCTACACTCCCTATTGCGGACTGTTACTCGCGCGCGGTGTTGACCCAGCTGTTCTTTATGATGTGCCTTGACTATATTGTTGTTTGTGAGTACAACACCTACTTTATTATTAAACATTTTTTATGGTAATGCACTAGGCCTGTGCACCCTGTTTTTTCTTTCCTCAACCATTCGATGTCCTGGTAGCACAAGTAGCCAACCATGCATTACCTTTCTGGAGTTCAGGGGCATGAGACCAATTTCCAATTGCTTGCTGGAGTTAATGCACCTCACAACGTTTTCCTCGAAGTGCGTGCTGTACAGCACACACCACATGGACCAGACTTAGGCAGACTGCTTAAAATACCCATGAATGTGACTTTTGCTGATTGTACAATGGCAGCTGTGCATGGAAGGAGCAATGACATCAGCAGAATCCTCAGTCAAAAAATTAATCTGCTACTCTGCTGTCAGCACTCATAGCCTTGGGTAAGTTACTGGTGGGTTTGCACATTAGGACGCAAAAGCACCCCAATCTATTACAGATTAATAAATTTCCACCTATTCTAAAATCCTAATTCCCCCTCTCAATGTAAACCAAGATCATTGCACTTTATAGAAGTCCAATATGTTGCAGCTCAATATGTTCCCAGTTCAAGACACTCTACGGCTATTGAATGGTATTACCCAGGAAGTATCCTAAGCTCTAGGGAGACTGACGTCCTATTCAAGAGCTCCTGGCAATTCAAAGAAGCAGAAATCTATAACCAGTGAAACAATACGAGGCCTGAGAGCACATTTATATGATCTATGGGATTAGTGTAAACAGAAGAGCCCACACATCATTTGGCAGTGTGAATGGAATGTCTGAGTAAAGCACTTTGTCCCACTTACTGCTCTGTTTACACGGTGCTTGGAAACCACAGATGGGAAAAATCAGAATTAAATCAAACCAAATATCACAATAGTCACCTGTATAACCACAGCACTGCTAAACAGATTAGAGGTGGGAAAGTGAAGATTTTGGTTTACAGTAAGAGCTTAGAAGTACATTTTAAAAGGATTATCCGCAGACATACAGGATGACAATCCGCACAGCCCTTGTGTCCATGCAATTAACTATTTTTAGCACAGTTAAAAGCATAATTCATGCCTCCCCCCCCATTTTGCACAGAGTAGGGGACGGTGAATCCTCCAAATTGAGTTTTTCTATCTGTACCCCATTGGTGAGATCTCCCACTTCCTGTTCTGTAGACAATAGGAAGCGAAAGGAAAGCTCTTCAAGATGAGAAAAAAAAAAAAAAAAGTCTTCTTAAACAGTTGTAACCATAACGGTCTCCGCTGGAAGATTTCCCCTCTATTTACTGTCCTGATGGCAAGTCAAATTTTTGGTTTTAGCCCAACAATGGCCACCAGGGCAAATCGAGGAAGACAGAATGACTTTAATGGGGACAGACAGCAAGAAAAGCTTACACAGGGGTTTGAACCATTCACCAAGTCAAATACTAAAATAAAAATTTGGTTTGAAAAAGCAAAGCAATGATTTCCAAGGCTGGACTACCTATAAATCACAAGCTACCTAGATCAAAAAATGCAACAAAGTAACGTCTCTAGCACCTTTCCTTGCAAGGCTAGCGAATATGCAGTCTAATGCCTATGACTACCCCATCTAATACAGCACGCCAATAGACCGCACAGCTTATACACACCCTTTGGCAGTGGTGCTCTGTTGGCTCTATGTGTGCAGCCCACCATATCCCAGGCTGGGTCCTCTACCTGTGGGGTGCGGGGTGTTTGGCAGTGAAATGCTCTCTGTTTCAGCACTCATGGGGTGGGGGTAAATTAACCCGTTACTGACTGCATTGAAATTTTTTTTCTGTCGCCGACCACCCATCTGGGTTGGGGGGGGGGGGTTAACTTTCACTGCCACTTCCCTTTCCACCAAAAGGTGGTGGGTTAAACAGCACTTCTACTGAGCACCTGTGCAGGAGGCACTTACACCAATGCTGGGAAGCCATTAATGGGATCACCAACAGCAATGCTGGAGTTAATATTGCAATCATTGATATCAAAACGGACATTTGCTATTGCTGCCACTAACACCATAGCTAGATATTGTTACTACCACTGACACCAATGCTAGAGGATTTTATTGCAGCTACTGACATCAACTCCAATTTTCTATTTAGTGTGTGATGCAGTAACAAAATGTTTGGGCACTGAGGTGCATTAGGCATGTACATTTTGAATAGTCTGCCTAACTTGAAGCTATGTACATTAATGCACAAAACCACAGTGCTATTGTGCAGCCTTCGAAGATCTAGGGGCAGGCACTTAAGGGTCCCTTTTATTTTCATGTTAATCACCACTGCCATAAGGCATCAGAGTAGCCAAGCATTTTCTTGTGACTTCCTGCCATCATGCCACTGAGTGGCCTCACATAATTATTTGAATTCTTCAACATGTGCCTGACTGGCAGAGGTACGGGGGACTCTAATGAAGAGTTTTCGTTCTGCCATGGAAAGGTCTGTGCTTGAGAAACAGCACTGAAGCTTTGTTATGCAGCCAGTCTAGATAAAAACAGTGAACAAAGGAGTTCTATAGAGATCATATATTTTGCATTCTTATTGTAGTGTTTAAAAAATATTTTTTCATATAACTTAAATTTTTAACCACCTCAATACCGGGCACTTATCCCCCCCCCCCCCCCCCTTTCCTGCCCAGGCCAATTTTCAGCTTTCAGAGCTGTAGCATTTTGAATGACAATTGCACAGTCATGCAACACTGTATGCATATGAAATTTGTATAATTTTTTTTCACACAAATAGAGCTTTCTTTTTGTGGTATTTAATCACCACTGAGCTTTTAATTTTTTGCTAAATAAAACAAAAAACACCTGAAACTTTAAAAACAAAAAAAAACAAAAACTTTTGTTTCTTATAAAAGTTTGCAAATAAATAATATTTCTTCATAAAATTTAGGTCAAAATGTATTCTGCTACATTTCTTCGGTGAAAAATACTACTACTACTAATAAAATTTGGGGTTTCTCTTTTTTTTTACCATTTTATTTTTCAGCACAATGACCAAAGTAATACAATGTTACCATAGTAACTACTCTGGGCAAGCCACCAGGATTTTTTTTTTTTTTTAACACATTATGATTGCTAATACCAATGTTTTTAATTGATATTTCCAATTATTGTTACTGGATGAAACGGATTCAGTCTTTTGTTGTGATTAGCGGTGATTGGGCAAAGCTGATCACGATACAGATGGGCTGTGATTGGCCCTGTCTGTATCATGTGACTGCCTTGACCAGTCACAGCTAACAATTGTATACAATGGATGGCATGACAGGAAGCCATCCACTGTATACAATTGACATGTGATCTGCTGTGATTGGTCACAGCAGTCACATTACACTGGCAACGGGCCGGTGTCGTGATATGTCTTTAGCTGTGTCCCGTGGACACAGCCAGTGACAGATCGCACCACTGCGCGGCCCCGTGAGCAGCTCATATGACAGGACATCATGACACCCAGTCACAACGGCAAGTGACCCACCCAGCCGTCAATCTGCTATAGGCCAGACGGGAAGGGGGTTAAATGTTTTATATTTTTGATTTGTAGATTAGCCATTAAAAGGGTGCTTTTAGTGGCATTAATTCATGCGCAACCACATATCAAGCTTCATACTGTTCCCAACCACTGGACGCGTGTGTGCGTGGCAAAGAGTCCAAAGCTTATGTCCAGGGCTGTCTAGTGCCAATGGTAAAGGATGGTGGTGGTAGAATCAAGGTTTGGGCAGCCATATCTTGGTATTCTGCAGGCCCCATCATCACCTTGAAAGATAAACAAATTCTGGCCGACCATGTGCACCCCATGGCGCATACATGGTTTCCCAAAGACAACACTATTTAC